GTGTATATGGCAAGCAAGTGGTCCTCATGCTATGGGGGAGTATTTCAGAAAGTGAAATCAAAATATGACTATTTAAAAAGTTGGACAGCACAAATAGTCACTTTTTTATAACAATTGGCACTGAAGTGATCACTTATAAAAAAAATTGATAGTCAAGTGATCACTATTTACAAAGTTTGGCACTCAAATAAACACTCGTGAACTTGTTACCACTCGTGAACTTGAATAGCCATTGCAGCAAAATTGCAACAAACTAGCAAACCAACATTTCTATAACAAATCAAGTTGGACGATGTTAAATAGGTTATATTAGAGAAATTGTCATTTTCACACGAACTGAATGGCAACAAGGCAAGTTGAACATGCCCACGCTTAACTAAATTCCAATCCCATATCTAGCCAAAAGTATCTTGGTTTGTAGCAAACCAACATTTCCAGCAAAAATTGTAGCAAACCAGCACAATACTGAGAATACACAACTAAACTAAACTTACAAATTACCCCAATAGAAAATGGTAGACTAATAACTTACTTGACATTTGAGCATAAAATAGGCCAAACAAGACAATAACAACACATTCAATACTCAATAACACTTTATTTCTCTTTTTATCCTAGAAACTTCCTTCTTCAAATGATTGGCCAGATATGCTAAAGCCTTCATTTATGCTTGCATTGAGTCGACATTGTCCAACTTGTCCATTAATGTAGGTGGAGATTGATTTCGTCTTTCAAGTAGTTTCAAGATCACCTCTGTCACTTGACCTATAAATTTCACATCGACCCATTTGAAATATTTTCACTTCGACCATTCTCTATATTTGGCGCATCTATGGATTCATCTCCTAGGATTCAACTAAGTCCAAAATGTTCTTTTGGGACTCGGTAGCCCACAATAACAATAATATTCATCTTCTTCTTCGTTTCATTAAAATGAATTTGAGCCCCTTGTCATGCTCCCGCTCTCCATTTGCAAGATTGAGCTATTACTTTTGGGGGTAAACTGAATAAGGGTTTCGATTTAGGGTTATGGTCGATTTTGGGTTTCCAATTTGGGAATTTCCTTGTAAGTTGCGATTTAGGATTTATATTTGGGGCAAAACTTGTAAATGACATCATTTAGGGAATAATATGTTGACTGGGCATGCTGGCGAGCCACGTTGGACGGAGAAATTAATAAAATATGGCTACGTTGGATTTTTGGCTACCCTAATTGGAGTCGGCACTTACGTGATCATTTTTTTTTTAAAAAGTGGCACTTAAGTAATCCGAAATTTTTTTTGACATTAAAGTCAGCACCACACGAAATTTTGATACTTCTATTATCCTTATCCCAGAAAAAAGAAAGAACGAAAACAAAAAAATTACTCAAAAATTCAAAAATTATTTAAAAATGTCCATGTTAGTGATGGCTATGTCATGTAGGATGGAGGTGTTCACGTTAGCGATTTTCAACCATAATTGGCCGAATTAACTCAATTAACAAAATGTGAAAATGTTTATGCCTAAATTGGTATAAGTGAAATGTTTAAAACTGAATTAGCATAATTGCAATATGTTTAAGACTTTTTTAGTAATTTTCCTAATGACAAAGTCATCATACAACATGTCATAACATCACACATCGTTATACATCATTTTTGTGCCCTAATCATGTAGACTGCATTCATGTTTCCAAAACACACAAGCACACACGGCAGAATGAATAATGTCCGAGGGCATAACATGATGTGAATCTTTTCACTCGATTATCTCTCTAGACAAAGAACAATCATTTTCATGTTTTAGGAAATAAAATGGTAATGGAATTTAAAGGACTTAATAAAAAATGAAGCATCGTATGGGCATTGTGAGGGTGATAACACTTCCAAACATGTAATCGAACCATCGAACCATAGATCTATGATTTCACAACAGACTGGTCAGAACCACATGTACACCTAGATAGCTTACTTCCCTAAAATTATTTAGGATCCTAAGGTTCAATTGGCCTCGGTTAATAAAATTGATTGGTGGCAACTCTATTTGTTTAAAAAACCAAAAAAACACCTTCATTTCACCCATTGAAGACCACCATGAACCTTAGGACTGTAGGGAATGGTCTTGAGGAGCTCACCACGAGGCAAGGCCATTGAACGCTAGCGATCTCCCTGGGCTCACTAGTCCGACCGAACGAGTGCTGGCCGTTTAGAAGTGTCCTTGAGGAGATGTTAGAAGAAAATGACAACATCCAAAGAAATTAAGGACAACAATTTCCAAGCTCTTCTCCAAATTGTTGGATATTCAGTTACGTCTCTAATCCCACATCAACTTTAAACTGCAAAATGTATTCTAAAGCCATACGGGTGTGGGTGAGCTACAACCAGAGTGAACAATATTGTGTTCATAGTGGATTTGTGTGGGACTGCCAACAGTGTTATTAGTGTTTCGCCAAGAATGGCCTCGAACGAAAAATCTTTCACCGAAGTGGAAGATCTTCGATTTTTTTAGAGTAACTGGGTCCTGTGTCGTTTCGAAAAGGAAGCGACGAAATCTACTCTAATGGCGATAAAAGTAAAAGGACAGGACATAAAAAGTGTGCGATAAAATGTAAATTAACGATAGCAATTGAATAAAACGAGATTACAAAAATAAATGTTATGCAGCGTGTTTGGCAAAAAGGTCTTCCCTTCATGATTGCCTTGAGGCTATTTATAGCTAACGCTTATGAATAACCGCTGCCAAGCGGTTATTGTCTCAACTTTGGATTGTTTTGGAATTTTCAATTTCCTTCCCGATAACTATCTCCTCTTAACCGCGGTGTTGTCGGCACCAAATGTGGTAACCACTTTTATCTTTATCCTGTAGTCTTGAGCGGTTATTGGTGCCAAGTTTTCGGTGTTCCGTGTAGTGGGCCTTGTGCGACTTTCTCACCCTAGCTACTGTTTTAGCGATTTGGGCATGATGTACCCTTTCTTTCCTTTAGCTCAATCAGCAAAATTTGAGCGCTGACAATTGGAGACAAACATGGTCAGGATGTTGGGTTTCAGACATATCTCTTATCCCACATAGCCTAAATATGGGTTGTTACATGAGAAAATAAGTCTCATGCAACCTGAAGCTTGTATAGCGCGCTTTAGATTCATTCGGGAGCGAGTGGGCCACAACTAGGGAGGTGGGGGGCCTAGTGGGACTGCCAAGAAAAACACATAGAATAAAGATCAAAGGCTAGGAATAAAATTAAAACTTCAAAGCCAAATTAGCAATAATATCACATGATATAGCAAACACAGTCTTTATGTATCGCCTTGTGGATTGAGGTGGTGCTCGAAACATACATGGGTTTGACATTGAAATTACCTTCGTTCCCCAACATAGACCCACAAGATCTCCGCTGATTTGAATGTGCAAGGCGTGTGATTACCTTAAATCCTTTTGCTTCACAAATAAAAAGATCTTGAACATACCATGGTCTGGTATCATGAATGATTTGACCCTTGTCCCCTCCGGAAAATGATGCTCCACTTCCACACCATTAATGGGCGGTCCATGAGGACCCATCTGGCTCTTCATCAGTTTGAGATCTAATTCCAATCATTCCACTGTTTTTTCCTGCATATCGATCATTGCCTATAAGTGAAGCCAACCAGTAATAGAAGCTCCCTCCTGTTATTGTCAACAGTCTCCTTTCCTTTCCTTTCCTTTTTTTTTGCCCCCACTTCGAATTATTTATATTGGAATTATAATTATTTTTTCAGCTTCTATCATGCTTTTTGGGTGACCTAACTCCTCATCAGCATAGCCGACAAAGCATTATTGAATGCGATTATACATGTACAGATTAGTAGGCCCCAATGCACCCCCTCATCAACTTTCTAGTTAAGCAAAGATCCGGATTCTTGTTGATGAATCATATTCGGCACCATTATAACTCTTTGAAAACTTCAATGGTGTCTTGTACCTACTTTGCTTGTTTCCCTCTCTATCTCTCTCTCCTTTTTTTTTTTTTTGCTTTTTTCACACAACAAACAAAGAACAAAGAAGCTATTTTTGATGATAGATTTAGATAATGCGCATCACTTTCTAATCGCCACATTCATGATCAAGGGAAAAAAACAAGGCAACCATCCCTTACTAATAAAATAAATTGAGATTGGTAAGCAAGGTGACATGAACCCATCTCTACCCAGTTTAACCAGGCATGGGAGTGGGGGACAGTTCATGTGGTCTGTCATTAATAGAACCAAAAGCAACGTCCAATCACTTAGGCTTCTATTGGAACTTTTCATATCAATTATAGTTTATTAAACTTGATGATGTCGTGGTTTTTGCTTTGTCTACTCAGGCTTCACAGAAAATCACCAGCTAATGATGATCAATAGAAAGCACTACCCATTTATTTATTTGTCATCATGATATGCACGGATGATTGCTTATGTTATCAAATGCGGGAAATGAGACATATATTTCGAAATCTTAGAGTGTATTACATGCTAATATATATATGTATTTTGGTTTTGTCCCTTCTTTTTCAAATTTTCTGATGGGAAACTGGGGCACAAGCTGAAGACATAGGTGGCCAATAATTGATACTCGGAAAAAGGCAGGATAATATAATTGTGTGGAGAGAGAGAGAGATATCAACAATAGTTATATCTGTACGTTTATGGGTGGCAAAGGATGAACGAATCACTCTGTTTGATGTTGTGTTTCCCACTCCCCATGTGAACCCACGTCCCATATTTTATCCCCCCCGCACAAACCCTCTTCTCCCTGTTGCTGTGTATTCTAGCATCCTTTCAAAGAAAGTTAGAGAGAGAGAGAGAGAGAGAGAGCGAGCGAGTAGGTTCCTAGTTCGTCTGTTCTTTATAATGCAGATGACTGTGGTGGGGCTCAAATGGTCAACCTATGTAGAGAGAGAGAGAGAGAGAGAGAGAGAGAGAGAGAGAGAGAGAGAGGACTTTTCATAATTTCCAATGAGATTCGTTTTTATACTCATTCCTTCGTTTGATTAATAATCATAGCCACCCACCCACCCAACGCCTTCACTCCCCCTCGGGAAAAAGAAAAAGAAAAAGAAAAGTCTCATCATTCTTTCTTCTTATTTAGACCCCCTTCCTCTTTCTCTGCCATTCCAATCAACACCTCTCTCTCTCTTTCTCTCAAGCTCTCTTGTTCATCTTCAAGAACACACACACACACCAAATCAGTCTCACACCATCTCTTCAAATGGGCATGGATGATCTGTGCAACACAGGCCTTGTTCTGAGTCTAGGCCTCGAGACGCCCTTCAAGATCGAAGCCCAGAGGCAAGCCAAACAGCGCCTTAGCTTCGAGCCCTCTCTCACGCTGTGCCTCTCCGGTGCGAACAGAGCTACCTGCGACGAGCAGCCGCCGGCCGACCTCTTGTATCGCCAGGCGTCGCCGCACAGCCACAACAGCCTCAGCGCGGTGTCGTCGTTCTCGAGCCCGCGGGTGAAGAGGGAGAGGGACCTCAGCAGCGAGGAGGCCGAGGTCGAGACGCTGGTGTCCAAGGCGAGCGACGAGGACGATGACGGCGCGAATGCGAGGAAGAAGCTCCGGCTCACTAAGGAACAGTCTGCTCTTCTGGAGGAGAGCTTCAAACAGCATAGCACTCTCAACCCTGTAAACTCTCTCTCTCTCTCTCTCTCTCTCTCTCTCTCTAAGGTCCACGGTTGACTGAATGATCTGTGCCATGGCAACGACTAACGATTCATATACACGACGGCTGAGATCATTCAGTTAATCGGAGTATGAGTGCATGGAAGATTTTTCACTTCTTTCTGTGTGTCTGGTATCCATTCAATTTCTCCTTCGTTTTCTCAAAATTCGTTTGGTATTGATTGTTGGCCTTCTTTTTAATGGAAACAGAAGCAAAAGCAAGCTTTGGCGAGGCAGTTGAATCTGCGGCCGCGCCAAGTCGAAGTGTGGTTTCAAAACAGGAGAGCCAGGTAACAGATCATTCATAGCACCAACAAACAAAGTACAAATTATGATTATAGGCCATAAGAAATAGATTCCTCATGCATTTTCCAATATATTCAAGTAAATATAGGCCATAACATGTACTTTCCTCAGAGATACTACTTTTGCTCCGAGCGCAAGTTACAAGTACGACACGGCAAATTGCGTTCACGTAAATTCATACCCCCCAAAAGATTCAAAATTTTCTTTACACTCTTTATCCATTTTTTGAGGTTGTGATCTTATTCAATATTTGAGAACTATAAAACATTTTTTTTTTTAAATCATTGGTTGCCCTTTTGATAAAAGCTCAAGATACAAATAATTCACGGATTCTTCATAACTTTCACGTACACATACCTACAAAATCTTGACTGCTTTTCGATCATGACATATAGATAACCTTCATTTGCTCTGTAATATAGTGATTTATTTATGGGGGTGTTCGTTTTAATGTGATATGGATGTTCATCAATGTATTCTTGGTCTCTTCATCAGGACGAAGCTCAAGCAGACCGAAGTGGACTGTGAGTTCCTCAAGAAGTGCTGTGAGACGCTGACCGACGAGAACCGGCGATTGCAGAAGGAGCTCCAAGAGCTCAAGGCCCTGAAACTGGCCCAACCCTTTTACATGCACATGCCCGCGGCGACGCTCACCATGTGCCCGTCGTGTGAGCGGATTGGTGCGGGCCCAAGCGTCGACACTGCGGTGCCGACGAAGAGCCCGTTTTCGATGGCAACGAAATCCCACTTGTATAGTCATCACTTCACCAATCCTTCTGCTGCTTGCTGATTAGAAGCTATTAGGGTTTTAGAGATATTACAAAGAGAGAGAGAGAGAGAGAGAGAGAGAGAGAGAGAGAGAGAGAGAGAGAGAGAGAGAGAGACATATATAGACTCCCAAATCACAACCCCTATAATTTTTGCTTGAGGGCTTGTAGCTAGTTAAAGATCCAATGTAATTATTTGTTAGGGAAATATAGTAAACTCCTGATGGATCATCTCCTAGTTTTCTTTCTTTCTTTTTTGGGCTTAATCTGTAAATGTTTTAACAATATATCTGAGGTTATCAATGGAGGAATTACTTTAATTTATTATTTTCCTAACCATGTTTTCTTATGTGAAGATTGTTGATGTTTAGATGCCTTTGGCAACGAGACTTTCATTGAGGAGAGAGATCGAGAGGAGAGACCCTTTTTGTGACTCGTAGAAAAGTTCCTCTGTTCCCATTTGATGACGTCATTATTACCTACTCACACGTAGTAGGACTCATCACCTCGATATAATATAATAAAATTAAGGTCATGGCGCTTGCTTTATAACGCCCAAATGGTACAAGGAGAGAATAATCGCATATCATAAGACCGTCTAGAGATTTCCACGGTTTTTTTTCAACGTTAGACCACTGGGATTTCATCTAATCTTGCGTATGACTTTAATACTACACTTATTTATTTATATATCTTGCAGTCTCCCTTGAACTTAAAAGAGCGGAAGATGAGACAAAATCGTGTCATCCATAACAAAAGCGCACAAGATCTCTCCCGTTCCCCTTCTCCAAAAAAATAAATCATGAAAGGCTCTCTTTACACCTCTTGTTCTTGTATTTATCTAACTTTCAAGATGGGGTGAACCTTCACTGTTTCTAGTCACGCTTCAAATACCAAATCTCAATAATCATAATAATGATTAAAGAATAAGCAAAGGGGAAGAAGAGAATGAGAGAGGACCATATGATTCGGGAGGGGGTCATTATTAAGTAGGTAAAATGGGAGATGGAGGTTAGTTCACGTGTGTAGACCTTTTCAAGTTTCAGTTGATTTCGGTTGATTTGAGAGAGAGAGAGAGAGAGAGAGAGAGAGAGAGAGAGAGGGAGGAAGAGGCGTGTCGATAAAGAAAGGAATAGAGAAATAGGGGATGGAGAGAGAGGAGGTGTGATGGGATGATGATGAATCCCTTGTTGGAGAGAGTTGAAAATGAAGATAGAGGGAGGGAGAGGGAGTCATTGGTCTCGTGAGATGCTTCGGCTTTAAGGAGACCGGTGGGTCATGCACCACGTGATGTCCCAATGGGCCTCCACACCCTTTATTTTCCTTTCTTTCTTATCTTTTTCCCACAAATCTCATCTTGCGGATTTCCCATGAAGAGGGTCAAGACCTTCTTCCTCCTCAAACCCTTCTCAGTTTCGATTATGAGCGCGCCCCACACCAACCCTCACCCCCCCATTCTTCACCCGTCCATCGTCGTCCCTTTCATACTTGAAACTTCCCAACCCTCTCCGAGTAAGAAGAGTCCAGGAGAGACCAAATTGAGTAAGTTGATGTGCAAATTGGTTCGTGGAAGTCTATGCTCCGGTCGTGTTGATTACGTGTGCCGAAGAGTATTTGGTCATCTGTGCTTAATCAAGAACGTTTCGATCTTCATCGCACTCATGACGCACCAACACGAGGAAAAGTAAAAAAACAAATATCACCAAAGTTTTCTTATTTGATCACTTGACAAGTAGCCACCAGGACACTAGTCATCAGAATCTTATATATTCATGAATTTAGTGTCCCGTCGTTTCATAAGTCAATGTTCATGTTTCTCGCACTACTTTTTGAGTATATTAGTAGACTCATATCTTCATACTACCGACATTTTTAAATCAATTCATCATGATGGGCCGAGATGAGTAGGTTAATCGACTGGAATATAACAATCTAGTTTTATACTTAATTGTTTTTGGTATTTGGTTTTCATTTTACTATACTTCATAATAAATTACAAATGGATGTGTAAGTAAAATGGGTTATTTTTAAAGTATCGAACAGGAATGCGAAACCCTTTGTATATCGATCTCGTAAATCAATCTTAACATGCATTTTAGTACTATACAAAGAATAAGAAGTTAAAATTTACAAACTTGTAATCTCGAAATATCACTTTGTGAAGCAATTAAATACATCTATCCTGAAAAAACCCTAGTATCATTTTCCGCCACGACAATGGGAATCCCCTTAATTTAGGAGGCGGTCAAGTTGACGGTCAAGACCGACGTGGTTTTGTGAGACCCAAAAGGCACCAACGTCGGATGCACGCTACCATGATTGGTGTGTTGGACTAATTGGACAAATAATGGGGAGATGGGGGAAGTTTCTTCCTATCTAAACAGTCTACGCTCCATTCAATCGTTGCCTGAAATTGTGGGGTGAGTGCTGTGAGTGGGCGAGACCTATTAAATGTAGTTTGATGGAGGGGACTTTCGAGGAAAGTCCTCATTGATCAATCACCGGCTAGAATCACTATCATTGCTTTCTTCGACTCTTCAACTCCCCCCTTTATTTATTTTTTTTATTTTTTATTTTTGGCATTAGCCCTCCTATTTTTACCAAGACAAGATGATATGGGCATCGAAAGGGATTGGAGGAGGTCGAGAAAGGGTCAACATGTATCTAGATGAGTGTGCTTTATGGGAAATTCTTTTCCACCCATGAATTAATGTGGCGGTACTATAGTTATCATTGAAAAAGTCCAATTTTATTATTGCAAGATGGACGTGTACACCCGTTTTATGGTTGGAATGAGCGCTGGTATTAGTTTTGACATCCGAAGGCTTAATGGTCTCAATTTGACGTTAGTCAAAGAACTCTTCTACTTAGGTGGGGGTGAAAGAATTCCCCTTGACAAATTGTACGGGAAAAAGTTTGGGATACTAGAGACGAAAATATTTGTATTTTTGGACTGTCAGGAATTTTGTATCCATTTCGAGTGACAACAATCGCACTTACCGGTTGTTCATTATTCTTAACGGGAATGTAAATAAAATACACAAATAAGAGTTAGAACGATTTCAATCGTCAATTTTGGTTTCTTGGAGGTAACATGGCAAAAACTGATTTTTGCGTTTAATTTTACTCGTACAAAAGTTCAATTTAGATACTGCGCATTATGTTTGTATTTCTCCTTTGAACCATCGATTTAACAGATATGTTTACCTACTCATATTTTTGCATAGAGAGAGAGAGAGAGAGAGAGAGAGAGAGAGAGAGAGAGAGAGAGAGAGAGAGAGAGAGAGAGTATATAGCTAGCAATAAACCCATGCTTTCAGCACGCTGAGAGAAGTAACACAAATTTTTACGAATTATTTTTCAACGTTAAAATGTGTACCATGAATAATCTTTTACTACAGATTTGGAAACAAGAAAATATGTATGCAAAAAGTTAACTTTTTTATTGTTTCTGTTGAAAAAAATGTTTTCTATAACTTTTCATTAAAACATACTTCTTACTATTAGTGAGATGGGTGTATGTGTATACACAAGAGCATAGTCTTTTTTCTTTAAACTTTTGAACCAAAATTTTCTAATATGTGAGACATTATTAAAAAAGTTCGGACACTATTTATTTAAATTTATAATATACATATTGAATGTAGCTAATAACCTACTCTCTGTTTTTTTTTTATATATGAAAAAGTGCATTGTCTTCTCACGTTATAAGTTTGAAAGTATATGATTTGAAAGATAAGGTATTAAACCAACACCAACGACGGGAACAAGGAGGACCGTTACATATGATTTTCATTTCGCTACAGTTATTATGGAATACACTTTATAAATTTCACGTTAAGAATTAGCCGAGCATGCACATACGATAAATAATAAAGTAAGTGCGATGAAAGCAATGATAGTGATTGTAGCCAGTGATTGATCAAAGAAGACTTTTCTTGAAAGTTTTAAACCTATTGCACTTTAGTCAATTCAATTATAAACCTTTCAATTTTACCAATTGAGTCATAAACCTTTTTACGTTTTGCCAATTGAGACTATTCAGCCAATTTTACTCGGAAATCGCTCATGTGGACGCTATCTATCCTACATGTTACGGCCGGTGCTAATGTGAATTTTTTTTATAATGTTTAAAAAATTTCTAAATTTTTTATAATTTTATATGTTTTTTTCCTTCCAAGCCCGGCGAGGGTTGCCGGCCAACCCTTGCTGTTCATAGGCAAGGGCCGGCTGACCCTCGCCCGTGGCCGGTGAGGGCTTTGCTGCGCAACCGGCAAGGGTTGATCGACCCTCGCCTGTGGTTGGTGAGGGTCATTCGGCCCTCACTTGTGATCGGCAAGGGCCGGTGGCAACCCTCACCGGACTTGGTAGAAAAAAAAAAGAAAAAAGGAAAAAGAATAAAAATTATAAAAAATCAATTTTTAAAAAAAATCATAAAATATTGCCCATGTCAACGCCAACTATTTTACGTGATACTGTCGGTGTCCATGTAAGTGATTTCCGGTTAAAATTGGCCGGATGCACTCAACTGATAAAATGTGAAAATGTTTATTACTCAATTGGCACAATTGAAAGGTTTATGATTGAATTGGCTAAAGTGCGATGGGTTTAAGACTCTTTAAACAATTTTCCTAAAGGTATATTGTAATGCACAGTATTTTGGTATGTCATGTCCAGTTTATATTTTTACAATTGTTGCCAAGTTTATTTTTTTAAGTAATTAATACAATAATGATGGAAATTTACGGAAAAAAAGCAAAAATAGTTTGAAAGAGCGAGTAGAAAGCTGAAGTAGGTAAAGTTGAGAGTAGCATTGAAAGCAACTCTCTCGTGTTTGATATCTATTGAGATATCATACCCGGCCGATAGCGATATGATTAGTTGAAGACTTAGGCAAATCACAATGATAAAATGGGGAACAGCGAGGTCAAATTGTGGGGAGTGATGACAAGTTGCTTTTATAAAAAAAGTTGTCAAATTAATATTAAATACGACTCTTTTGGTCGTTGTAGATTTGCAATACGTGTGCACCCACGTCTCAAATTAAGAAAATCCCCGAAAGGACACATGTCTCGTGCTGGCTCCAATGTCGGCTTGTCGATCTCCATACGATGTATGGATAATGCAAGTAATGGAGCCGAATCGAACGATATTGTTTATTGTTTCGCGTTGTCTATCAATGATAGACGAAAGCAATCGAGCTTGTTTGGTAATAAAAAAAAAAAATGTGGGCAGCTACGTACTATATAATAATGTAGTCTTAGGAGACACAGAACAGCATGTGTGCCCTCAAAAGAGTACCGATTTTTATATAGGTGGCTTGCTCC